TGTACCACAGGCCTTTGGATGTGATGTCATGTGTTCTCACATCCTCAAGTGGGTCTCAGTGGTGCCCTGTACCTTTCCTGGGTTACCTAGTACATTTGAAGGAAGTGAGATTTGACACTAAATCCAGGCTACTCCCTAGTGCACAGAGTGGCCATCACCACAGGTCAAAGCATCCCTAAGACAGTGGAAAGGAAATAGGGACAGGCCTCAAGGCTGTCGGATGTGGTGCTACCAGTGGTCTCCCCTCTGTTCAAGGACCTGTTCACTGTGGACACCCAGACCGGCAGTGTTACCTCCCTGACAGCTGGTGAGCAGGACTTCTGCAGTAGTGCAATGGCAGGGTCGGGGGATGGGCATACAGGGCAGGGTGGAGCCAGAGCTTGACCTGGGGCAGCTGTGGCACTCAGTCATTGTTATCACTAACCGTTCCCCAGCCTTTGCCAGCAGTGCCCTAGGGATCTAGCTAACACACTACCTGCTTTGCTCCACTGCCCTTTTGCATTTGCCTCCCTATGCCATGGCGCCATCGCCCCACCCTGTCTTAAAGTCTGCAGACCTTTCTTGCCAAGCTATTCTTAGCTTGCCATCCACCTCCTTCCCAAACCTTGGAGAAGCCTTTGTTGGATTCTCTAGCTTTCCCACACTTGCACCTGTCACCTGCCTCTAAATAGCCTGTGAGTTCTCCAGCTGCCTTGACTCCACATACACCTCCAGAAAGATGCTGCCTTAGTTAGGGTTTCTGTTGCTGTGAAGAGATACCCATAACCAAGGTATTTCTTTTTTTTTAAGATTGTATTTATTTATTTTTATGTATATGAGTGCTCTATCTGCATGGATACCTGTGGGCCAGTAGGGGGCATCAGATCCCAGTATAGATGGTTGTGAGCCAACATGTGGGTGCTGGGAATTGAACTCAGGACCTCTGGAAGAGCAGACAGTGCTCTTAGCCGCTGAGCCATCTCTCCAGCCCCCAAGGCATCTCTTAATATGGAAAACTTAATTGGGGCTGGCTTACAGTTTCAGCTTACAGTTTGTTGTCATGGCAGGAAGCATGGCAGTGTGTGAGCAGACATGGTGCCAGAGAAGGAGCTGAGAGTTCTGCGTCTTGATTGGCAGGCAGCAGGAAGAGAGAGTGACAATGGGCCTTGCTTGAGCTTCTGAAACCTCATAGCCCAGCTCTAGTGACACACTTCCTCTAACAAAGCCACACCTCTTAGTAGAGCCACTCCCTGAGTCCACAGGGTCCATTTCTATTCAGACCACCATGGATGCCAAAGTTTTGTTCTAATTCTGTATCTATGGCTTGGGACATAGCTCATTACTAGGGCATTTGCCTAGCGTATACAAAGCCTAAGCACATAAGTAAATACAAAAATAAATAAACCTTAGACCCTACTATCCAGTCCCCTTTCCCCGACTTGTTTTTTTGGTGGTGGGGGAGGGGGTTCTAGGCTGCCATCATTTTTACACAGCAGTCATTGGAGTGGGTAGAGTACTTGGAAGCTTTCTGTGTCCCTGGGTCTGGCAGTTCCTGAGCACAGCCAGTGTCTGTCAGATAAACAAGGGGTTGAATAGGAGGCTTACCAGGACATGTGTTTGTAAGAGGTGCACCTCAGGGTTGAAGGTAGAAAGTGGTGGCCCCTGCCAGGCACTTACTGCCATCTTCGTCCTCTAGGAGGGTCAGGTGGAAGTTGGAAGCTGCTTACAGTCGACCAAGACCTGATGGTGGCCCAGTTCTCCACACCCAATCTGCCCCCGAGCCTGGTGAGTATTGGTGGGTCCCAGGCTAGAAGACAGGAATGACAAGCTTCCACGCCATAGAACTGGGCCTGAAGACTGACCAAAGCTGCTCAGCATGTGGAAGGCCAAAGACTTGGATGCAGTCTAGTCCTGTGGTTCACTGGCTTAGCACTCAGGAGCAGGAACCATCCTGAACAGTGTGCCTACAGAAGTGTTCAGTTCTGGGTTATTAGAGTACAGAGAGACAGAACAACCTACAGGTCAAGAATTGTGGTGGGGGGGTGGCACATATGTGGATATATATTGGCATATACCGCTCACAAGAATTTATGCTGTGCCCTTTAGAGATGGGTTCCCAAGAGCTGGCCACCTGTGACACTTTCCTTCCCCTTGGCAGAAAGTTGGCTTCCTGCCTCCTGCTGGGAAGGAGCAGTCTGTGTCGTGGGTCTCTCTGGAGGAGGCTGAACCCATTCCTGACATCCACTGGGGCATCCGTGTGCTACACCCACCTCCAGACCAAGAGAATGCACAGTATGGTGAGCTGGGCCAAAGGCAGATGGATACTTCCAAATCCCCAGCACACAGCGTCTGTGGGGGGCCTTCCTAGCTCACACTGTAGGGTTTCTAGGATTTCCTCTAAAATGTTTCTGTTCTTATGGTCATGGGGTCAGGTATTCAGAGAGCTGAATACCTGCCATGGTTATCAGGTCCTACCAGGGCATATCACCTGTGGTGAGAAAACACAGGTCCAGAGGAAATAGGCCACACACAATGTGACCACCAGAATGCTGTCCTTTCAGACATTAGGGCTCTCTGACTAGGCAGAAAGAGCACAAGCTCTAGGGATCCGTGTGTCATGGTATGAGCTACCTTAGCCAGGCCCCTGTTTCACTTGCCCAGGCTCATGCCATGGCTACGGATGGGGCCTCAGCTGGGGAAGCCCTTGAGATGTAGGCCTGGTCCTGCTGACCACTGCCTTTTCCCTGCAGCTGACCTTGACTTTGAAGCAATCCTTTTGCAACCCAGCAACCCTCCAGATAAGACCCAGGTGCCCATGGTAGTCATGCCCCATGGTAGGTATCTACCTAAGAGCCCTTGCCTTCCTGCCACCGCTCCTAGCTGGCCCTTTCATCCTCTGCTTCCTGCCTGTAGGGGGACCCCACTCATCCTTTGTCACCGCCTGGATGCTGTTCCCAGCCATGCTTTGCAAGATGGGCTTCGCAGTGCTACTGGGTAAGAATAGGCCTGCAGTTCCACTAATGATGAGGTGGCCTTGGGTTCTGTATGTCCCGTGGCTGGGTTGTCACTCTGGTCATCAGGCTTTTCTATGGTTTTGTTACTTTCTTTAGAAACTACCATAGGACTGGGCAGTAGTGGCATCCTATTTTAATCTCAGCACTTGGGAGACTGAGGCAGGTGGACCTTTGAGTTCAAGGCCAGCCTGCACTTTAGAGCTAGTTTCAGGGCAGCCAGGGCTACACAGAGAAACCCTGTGTAGAAAAAAACAGAACAGAAGCCACTGCTAGGAATTGCCCTGATCCAGCCTCTGGCCTCATGCCCTGGTGCTCATATGCATTAACTTGAAGCGTCCATGGGAAGGATGCTGTGATCTCTGGGTAGCAGCCTCACATCTCCTGGCTCTGTCCCCTTGACAGCCTGTGGTGCAGCCTACTTCCCAGATACTTGAAATGGGGTGGAGTGTTGAGAACATTGCCTCACTGTCTTGTCTCTCACTTTTAGTGAACTATCGTGGCTCCACTGGCTTTGGCCAAGACAGCATCCTTTCTCTCCCAGGCAATGTGGGCCACCAGGATGTGAAGGATGTCCAGGTAGCAGGGCACTGGGGCTGCTGGACAGGGAGGATGGGTTCAGGCCTCTGTTGAGCTGGTGGGGAGTTAGCTGCAGCGTACTCTGCCCACCCTTCAGTTTGCAGTGGAGCAGGTGCTCCGGGAGGAGCACTTTGATGCAGGGCGTGTGGCCCTCATGGGTGGTTCCCATGGTGGATTCCTCTCCTGCCACCTGATTGGTCAGTACCCAGAGACCTACAGTGCCTGTATAGCCCGGAACCCTGTGATCAACATTGCCTCCATGATGGGCTCCACTGACATCCCTGACTGGTGGGTTTCCATCAAAGGTCCCTGCTCTTCCTTTCACCCCGTACTCCCATGGAGATCCCGCAGCCTGCATCTTCTGTTCTTCTGTAGGTGTGTGGTGGAGGCTGGCTTCCCATATAGCCACGACTACCTGCCAGACCTGAATGTGTGGGAGGAGATGCTGGACAAATCACCCATCAAGTACATCCCTCAGGTACCCGGGTATCCTTGTGTGTGCCACCCATCCCTCCAGAGCCCAGAGCTCAGCTCACCACGGCTCCTTGCTCCCCATGCACTCAGGTAAAGACACCAGTGTTACTGATGCTGGGCCAGGAGGACCGGCGTGTACCCTTCAAGCAGGGTATGGAGTATTACCGCGCCCTCAAGGCCCGGAATGTGCCCGTTCGGTGAGTGTCACAGGAGGGTCCTGGCAGGTGGTGGCAGGTAAGCAGGAGAGGGCCCTCCAACCTCTCGTGTTGCTGCTCATACAGGCTCCTGCTCTATCCCAAGAGCACCCATGCACTCTCGGAGGTGGAGGTGGAATCGGACAGCTTCATGAATGCTGTGCTTTGGCTGCACACACACTTGGGCAGCTGAAGCTGTCGTTCTTCGTGAGCTGGTCAGTTGTCGCTTGGCTCCTGGTAAGCTCCAAGGTCTGGCAGAACAGCCGAGAAGCTTCCTGTGCTCTGGACTCTGAATGAGTGGGCAGAGTGGACTGCATATTCATAATAAACAGAGGACACAGAGCCCAGTTTGTGCTGGTACTTTGTACCAAGCCATCCCCAACCCTTGACTCCACCACGGGGTTGAGAAACCCCAGGTCTTGGGTTTGATATCCACAGTGGAGTCATCTCTCATCTGTCAGAGAGGAGCCATGAAAAACTTAACCCCTGCCTGCCTGGGCCAAATGGGCCTAGTACAGACCAACACAGCTCTTTCTGCTATAATCCTGTCTGCTGGAAACTGCTCTACCCTATCCTTCCCTTCCCAGGAATGCCTCAGGAAATTGAGTGACAGCCTGCCGAGCCACAGTACACACACTTTGAAGCTGTTCCAGGATCAGAACACCCAGCCAAGAGTGTGCTGCTCTTAAACCATGCAGCCTCTTTCATGGAATCACCAACTCAGTCCCTAGAAACGCAGACTAAGAAACGTTCTATACAGACAGAGAGAAAAGGTTGCTTTATGATTGGTGAGAAGTCTTGTCATCTCTGAGGGATCAAAAGCAGGCCTACTCCAGCTGTATGACCTTGTTAATCCAGTCCACAAACACAGACACACGCTTGAAGATGGCTGGCCAGTGGGGCCGTGCACACACTCTGTTCGGGATTATTAGTCCCTGTAGGACCCAGCAGTCGTGGGTGTAGCAGGCAAGTGGGCCGCCGTAGTCGCCCTGGCAGGTAGGAGAACTGTGAAGGCTCTGGCCCTTGGCAGTGACTAGCCTCCCCCACACCCTGCCCCTTGGTCATCAGAGAGGATAGTTCTAGCTCCCAGACCCTCCCCAGACTAGGCCAGGAGCTCTACCACTGACCTCACACGCCCCTGTGGGGACCAGCAGTCCCTCTGTGCACATCTCACTGTCTTGTACGTGTCCTCGGTGCCTCACATTGCACTCCTGGTTGGAGATGACCCTCATGGAGGCCACATGAAGGACTGTGTTGCTGCCTGTACCTGGAGGGAGGACAGTAAGGAAAGGACCCTTGAGCCAAAGCCAGCGCTGGGCCACCTGGCCTGTAACGATCTGCGCCTGTGCACTGTCCTCCTACCTTTGGATTCACCCCAGCCTGCAATCTCACACTTCGTCCCCGGAGGTACCACATACTGCTCAGGAGGCAGGCAGATGAGGGCCACGTGATGGTTCAGGGTCACAGGTCTTTAGCAGGAATGGGGGGGATTCAGGACTGATGACCACAAGGCCAGCGCCGCCTCCCACCCTCTCAGCTTGTCTACGTACCTCTCCAGCTTGAGCAGAACAAGTTGGGAGCCTGCAGGCCCACACACTGTCTTGGCCACTGCGACCCTCTGCACATTTGCCTCTCCAGGCTGTGGGTTCTGGTCGATTGTCCCTAACCACACCTCATAGCCTGTGAGAGGCTCATGGCTGGGAGAAAGACTCTTGTCAAATCATTCTAGATTCCTAGGCAGCCGTGCCATCTTGTTTTGGCTTGTTGGCTTGCCTAAGGAAAGTGCCTGGGGTGCTGGGGACAGGGGCAGGCAGAGGCAGGACGAAGGTAAGCCGGGACACCTGGTCCTTAAACCCAGGGGAGGCCTACCATGACCAGACGCATTGCCGGGCAGTCAGTACCCACTGCTCCTTCACCAGGGAACCCCCACAGAAATGCTGGCCCTGTCTAAAGGAGCAAAGGTTAGGAGAAGCAGCAGAGAGTCATGCTAGAACTGCCATTCTTGGCAAGGACTGCATGCAGGGCCAGGTATCCCTCTCTCCTGGTCCAGTCACAGACGGTACAGCCTCGGCTCCTTCCCGGAGACAAGCGCCTAGGCCTCACCGGTTGCGCAAGCTGACTGTCCACGGTGAGTTCCCAGGATGGCCCCCCACCACGCGAAGCTTATTTTTCTTGTCAACCCTCTTGCCACACTTTTCAAACTGCACCTGGTCTGGGGGAATGGGGCAGAATGAAACCTTGAGTGAGGGTCAGGGTCAAAGAGGCTGACCCCACGGCTGGCCCAAGTCGGTACCTGGGGGGTCCAGGATAGATGGCGGGTGGTCGTCATCTGCAAGACCCAAGTTCACTCGGGTTAAGGGAGCCAGGCTGCGGGGGTGAGGTCTGAGCTAACCAAGGGCAAGTCTTAGGCGCTCACCACAGCGTTGGAGGGCGCAGTAGTCAAACAGGGTTGCTGGGTCCGAAGTGTAACACCAGGGCCCATGGCTATCCCCATCTGGGTTCCGACAGAAGTTTGCCTCCAGTCCCGCCTGCGGTGCTGAGGCGGGTGTGAACCTAGGCGTGGGGGCGGCAGGGTCACAAGGCCGACCTGTCAGACCCTCTGCAGGCTCACGAGGAGCCACGGCATTTTTGCCCTAGAGTTGAGGTCCAACCCGGGTGTGTGCGCACACTCACTGCGGCTTGTGTGGCGTGTCAGAGGCCCAGTGCTGGCACTGAACGCCCTTGCGGGTCTTGCTGACCGAGCCGCGGTACTGTTCGCCGGAACCGTGGTAGCACCCTGTGGGTAGGCAAGAGTGGCGGTCAGCCCCGCGTGGATCCCCGCCCCGCTCCCCGCCCGGTGCCCCAGCCTCACCCTCCGGCACCACGTCCTCTGTGCATCGTGGGATCTGGTAGCAGAAGGCCACGCGCAAACCGGGTCGGGATGTGAAGCACCAAGGCGCTTCGGAGCCGTCGGGATTCCGGCAGAAGTTCTCCCGGAGGTCCCTGAGCGGGCGTTAGTGTGGGTGGGGTCCCCCAGCCACCCCACAGCAGGCCGGGACCTCTGGCTCCGCCCCCGCCACAGGGCTGCTCTCCCCACCACCTCACTTGCAAGCGTATTTCTCTGGCACGAAGCGGTGCTGGTGCGGGCTCTGTGCGTCCCACCGCTGGCAGGGCACGCCCGCAGAGGTGGTGTTGGTTCTGCCTCGGTAGTCTTCGCCTTTCCCACGGAAGCAGTTAAAAGCCTTGCCCTTGGTGCGCTGGTGTGGCTTGGATCCTTTGACGGCCGGTGGCAGGTTGGGTCCTGCCCAAGAGCTGGCATTGGAGCTGCGGCTGCGGCTGCGCCTGCCTGTACCAGATGGTCTCCACCCACGCCTAACTTCTCTAGTGCCTCCCCCAGGTGAGCCACACCCGCCGGTTTTCCCAAGCTCCTCCCCAGGCCCGGTCCCTGCAGCGTACCGCAGCTGGGAAGGCCGCAGAACTCTCTCTCGACGTTCGGGTCTGTGGTGTAGCACCAGGGCCGCTCAGATCCATCCGGGTTACGGCAGTAGTTGTCATTCAGAGCTTTGTCCGGGAACCTGGAGTTAGTGACGAGATCAGGACTCGGGTCCCGCCTCAGCAGGCCCCCACTCAGCATAAAGGTTCTGCCCACACACTTGTCAGGCTGGAAAGGGTGCCAGTGAGGGTGCTGCAGGTCCCAGCGCTGACACTCGCGGCCCGATTCTGTAACGTCAACCTCGCCGCGGTAATCCTCGCCATTGCACCAAACACAAACAGCTGGAAACACAGGCCCAGTGAGTTCCCGGATGGGAGCAGGCCTGACCTTCCCTCCTTGGGCTTGACCCAGCTGCTTACCCTCCCTGCAGGATTTGATGCCGCAGCTCTGGAAGCGCACGCTGCCGTTGGTTGTGTAGCACCAGGGACCCCCGGGATCCCCATCAGGGTTCCGACAGAAGTTCCCTTCCAGGCCATTCTTTAGTGTGGGCGTATACCTGTAGGCAGAGAGCCTCACTGCAGCGCGTGCTGGGGCGCCTCTGCCTCAGGCCCAGCCGAACTGTGTCTGTCTCACTTGTGGTCATTGGGGAACCTGCGGCTCCAGGCTTGGCAGGGCAGGCCATCAGCTGTCCTGGCCACCGTGCCCCTGTAGCTGACCCCAGTGTTCATAATGCAGGTCCGTACATAGTCTGGAAGCAGGAGAGGGAAGGTCAGCAGGCACGGAGGCTCCATGCTCCCTGTTAACTCACCCTGCTTCTCCTCACTTGCCTTTCTTCTGGAAGAGATCACACAGGCCTGAGTGGTGCAGCTGTGTGTGAGGCGAGTGCTGAGTCCATGGCAGCAGCTGGCAACCATGGCTACTCACGTTGTAGTGAAAGGCTCTGGAGAGCAGACGCAAGGTCAACCAGCAGCCCGGAGGCTCATGCCCTCAGCCACGGTTAGGCTGCTCAGCCACTCACCGGCAGTCCAGAAGGGACCCACAGCGCCTAGCACACTCTTCAGCGTCTGTCACGTCCTCCTGCCATGACCCTGGCGCCGCTGGATGTAGCAGGTTCTTTAACTCTGTGCCCCGGAGCAGCTGGAAGTCGTTCAGTGGTGAGCGCTGCCCTGTGGTGTGTATCAGTGCGTGTATTCTAACACACCCTGTGTTTTGTTCGTTTAGGAAATCAAAGGGGGCGTGCCCTATGTATATTTTCCAGGGCCAGCCTAATCCCCCCCTACGTCATCGACTTGGGGAGGCAGGTCATCACTCGTCTGTCAGGCCTGGCATTGGGCTCAGGTCTAATCCATCCACCCCATGCGAATTTGGGTGACAGAGTTCATCCTGTGAGACTTGCCCCATCCATTCCCCCAATGAGAGTGCTTGCACTCGGAGCTAAGACACTATCTAGGGAAGGCCCCGGCTTCAGCATTCTGACTCCAAGCCGGGCTTTCATGAGGAGAAAGGCTTATATTGAGTTACGACATGTTAGGCTCAGGAGTCATGCCTTCTGTGTGTGTTAGCCTCTGCAGTCCCAAGACTGCCTCTGTGCTGCAGCCTGCATTCCGATGTAGGCCTGAGCAGACTGTATATTTGAATTCTCAAGCCTCCTGGGCTCTGCTCAACAGGCCAAGGTCACCGATCCCTGCCCGGTAGAAGGGTAAAATCTGGACGAGAATAGTTATCTGGGCCTGGGGTGAACTCCCTCCTGAAGGCAGATGGGGATCAGGGTAGGTGACACTCACCAAGAGCCCTTGAACACTGTGTCAGGAGCAGCAAAAGTGGGAGCCACCCCATGCTCCTGAGCTGGAGGCTGCACCGTGACCCACCGAATCCCCGTCCCGGAAATTGTGAAATCTGTCCCCACAGGATTGGGTGGCTCTGGCTCCACACCTCTCTGAGCCTGCTTGGGCCTGACTGACACCAGGTGACAGTTGCTAGGTGGGGCCTAGGCCTCAGGCCTTGTGGTCAGGGAAAAGCCTTCTCAATGCTGCTAGATTTCTGAGAAGCCTCACTGGTAGGCAGGACTTGGGGAGGAACTGTGGGGAAGCGTTAGACATCCCTGAGGCCTGCAGAGCCCTCCTGCCCTGTGCAATCACCACCCTAGCCAAGGGCACACTGCCTTGGTCGTCCTGCTGCTGCCTCTCCCTAACACATTGTTGCTGCAGCTGTTTCAGAAACTGCGCTAAGTCCCTGGTGCCTCTTCTGCACATGCGTACCACACGTCTCAGTAGTAAGACTTTACATGTGACTGAGTTCACAAAGTTAAAAACTGAATTTTTCAGTTACACTAGCCACATTTCAAGACTTCAGTGGCCACAGTGGATGCCAGCACCGTCGACATCTCTGTGCCCAAAGACACTGCTAGCGGGAGCTGACAAGCTCTTCCAGAGAGCCCAGTTTTCCGGGCCTCAGTTTCTCCCTATAAAGTGAGGAACATAATTTCCCCAACCCTCAAACTGCCTCTCCCTGTTCAAACTGACTTATCAGTTGAGTCCAGCTGTAGGCTGGTCAGCCCACACCCCTAGCAGCACATCCTGGGAACATTCATCGCTCCTCAGAAGTCTCATCCCAGGGAAGGGGAGCAAACCCTCCCGTTGGACCTGGCGTAGAAAGGCAGCGTGCGCGGATGTGACAGGTAGCAAGTCTGCTGACAGAAGTAGCCTTTCAGGCTGGTGCAGGTCAGGCTTCCAAGCAAGGGAGGAGTTGAGACAGGTGGCCTAGGACGGTTGGGCTAGGAAAGGCGGGGGGGGGGGGGGGCGGAAACAGAGGCGAACACTTTGGAAGGCATCGGGGTAAGGTTTTCAGCCAGCAATAGCTTGTTGCGGTCTCTGCATATGCGCGTGCGCGGCTAGTGGAGAGGCGCGCCAGCGGGCACGCGGTTTGGCCCTGGACGGGTGCCGTAGCCGAAAAGCTGGGCGGATGTTGTGAGCCGGTCGCGGAGGCTGAGGCTGGGGGTGAGTGAGAGGCGGACTGGCTATGAGCCGGGCGGGTCCAATGACTCCCCTCGAGGCCCCGGCGACAGCGCCTGCCACTGGGGGTGCCGCGGCCTGCGGCATAGGACTCCCAGCGGGAGCTGGCCTGACAGGTCCTCCGGAGCTTGGGGCCAGGCAGGGCGATCTGGGGGAGCATGCGCTGCCCTCGGCGTCCTTGGCCACCCAGACCTAGTCGGTTCGGTTCCCAGGCTGGATCTCCTGGGAGGGCTGGGAAATAATGGAGTGGGAGGGAGCCCCGGGCAGGCGCGGTCCCGCCTCTAAGTCCCCTCCACCTGACACCCACAGTGGGTGTCTGGAAGGTTGGCTCCCAGTTCTTAGTAACTGTATCCAGTAAGTCCCGCAGTTGTTCCGGTATAAGAGGGGCTGGTTGTGGGTGTCCATTGAGGGCTCCCAGAGAGAGGCTCTGCAGCAGAATCTTCCAAGCCTGCTAGGATGCAGGCAGCGGGGTGTGTGGCGGGAGCAGAGGGCCTGTTCTGGGGTGTGATAAGAGGAGGCTGCAGAAGTGCTGGCTCAGGCAGGCCAGGCTCTAGACAGGTGCTAGTGGAACTTTCTGGGCCAGTGGTGGTGATGGCGCGCTCGTGCCGTGCAGTTTAGTACAGTCACATGTGGTGGCTGAACTCCTGAAACTCCTGAACGTTTCCGTTTTTAACTCTGTAACCGCTCTTGGCTCCTGACACCTCTATAGTGAGACATGCACCAGGGAACTAGTGCAGCTCCAGCAGCTGCAGCAACAACCTGCTAGCTGCCTGAGGGCTAGACGTGGGTAGGAAGACTGATGGAGGGATCTTGACATGGCTGGTGGTAGCATAGTGTAGAAGGTTTTGTGTGTGTGTGTGTGTGTGTGTGTGTGTGTGTGTGTGTGTGAACCAGAAAGCTTGAGACTGTAGATAAGAAAGGGAGGGAGCTTAGATAAGGATGACATCTAGGGGAGGAAGGCTTGTGGCCGCAGGTGGTTAGTGTGGTCTGTAATCGAGGGAACATGGTATAGGGTCTCCATCTTCAGAATGTGAGCTGGACTCCATGACCAAGGTGGCCATATAGGAGCTTTTACTCTAAAAGCTTTTACTCACCTCCATGTTGATCTGATTTCCTCAAAGCCAAGACATTTAGCTATGGTTCAGCAAACATACTTCACGCTGGGTCTCTGCTAGGTCCTGTATGGGACACCAAGACAGTGTGGGATGCATCTAACCCAGATTCCCATCTAACATCAGCCTAGATCCATCTCATATTTCTGTGTGGAAAGCTGGGAGCCCTTGCTTACCTCTGCCCTAGGTTAGAATGTGTGTGAAAGGGCTTGGGTACGTCTTACCTGCTCCCAAGCTTTCCTACCATTGCAGGACTGAGGTCTATGTGGACCTTTGACTAGCCTGGAGTAGACCTTGCCTCTGGCCCAGCCTCCAAGACTACCGCCTGCCCATGAGTGAGGAAAGATGGCATCCAAGGGGCCTGATATGTCTTTTTCCCGAAAGAGCTACAGGCTGACCTCAGATGCTGAGAAGTCCAGGGTCACAGGTAAGGGCTGGCAGGGCAGGGAGGATACGCTTTGTGTTGTGACAAGGAGAAGGAAGAGACAAATGCAGCAAGGGTCCAGGTCCAGTGAAACTCGGAGTTTCAATCCCCCTTGTTCCTGCTCCTAGTTCTTCACCAGCACCCGTGGACCCCTGCACTCAGTGTGGTGGTTCTTCTGAACCCTGTGGGTGGTCAAAGACTAGCTGTCTGTGGGAACAGTAGGGACCAAGAGCTGTTCTGACTGACTGCTTCTTTTTTCTCTTCTGATCCGTGACCCAGGCATTGTGCAGGAGAAACTACTGAATGACTACCTGTACCGCGTCTTTTCCTCTCCCGATCGTGGGCCCCCTGCGGCCACCAGCAGGTATGCTTGAAGCCCCATTCCTCTCTGATGGCCCCAACGAGGTGCTGGAAACTGCAATTATGGGGAAGGGTAGCTTGGCTTGGGTTCTATTCTCACTCTGCTCCAGACTGCGAGAGCTGTGCCTGCAGTCTGCCCGCTGGACTCTGTTCCTCTCTCCAGACCGCTGTAGCTCCTTCCTGAGGATCCAGGGAGGAGTTCCTGTGCACCTCACCTCCAGTATGCATCTGGCCTTCTATGTACTTTTCTGCACCTCTACTCTACCCTGGCCTCTTGTAGCCTTGTCCGACCTCACATAATAGAAACCTCAGTTGAATGCATTTACATTTAAAAGTTACAAGTAGCAAAAACGTCCTGTTCTGATGTTAGATGTGACTCTTTGAGTGCGATTTCTTTCTGGTTTCTTTATCTCACAATGTACATATTCAGATCAGAAGGGTGGTGGCTCATGACTGTAATACCAACACTTAGCACTGGAAAACCCAAGAGGACCCAAGTTACAAACTGATCTGTGCAGGGGAGAAGACACTGTCTAAAAAAAAAAAAAAAAAAAAAAAAGCTTACTATTGTGTGAAAATTGAAACAAAGTGAACTAGTTGCTTATAAAATGTTAAAAGTTCCTTTTGTTTTGGAGACTGGGTAAAACCAGCTGGCCCCAAACTCTCAAGAAGCCCTGGAGCTTGGAGGTGAGAGTTTCCTGCCTCCCTCTGCCACCTAAGTATTCAGATTATAGTGCAGCCAGATCCTGCACCTTGTTCTGTGTGTGGTGGTGGTGGTGGTGGGGGGGGGTTGGGGGGCTTGTGCTTGCCACACAGCTCACTTTTGGAAGTCAAAGGATAGCTAGTGGGGACTGAACTCAGGTCATGAAGCTTGCCTGCCTAGTGCCTTTGCCCATGAAGCCATCTTGTTAGCATCATGTCCAGTATTTTTTAAAAGTCTTTTATTTATTCTTTGACAATTTTATATATGCATACATTTTAGGAGGGAGGGGTTGAGACAGGGTGTCTGTGTGACACTGGCTGTCCTGCAACTAGCTCTGTAGACCAGGCTGGCCTCCCAAGTGCTGGGACTAGAGGCCTATCTTGATCATGTCCATCTCTCATCTTTCCCCTTGCACTGTCCTGGGAAAGGCCCAGCTTTTTTTGTGTTTGCTTCGATTTTTGAGACAGGGTTTCTCTGTGTAGCCTTGGCTGTCCTGGATTCACTTTGTAGACCAGGCTGGCCTCGAATTCACAGAGACCTGCCTGCCTTTACCTTCCCAAGTGTTGCGAGTGCAGGGGTTTGCCTCTGTTCTCTCTCTCTCTCTCTCTCTCTCTTCTCTCTCTCTCTCTTCTCTCTTTCTCTGTATATGTGTGTGTAAAACCTGTTAAACAATCACTACCACCAAACTAATGAACGTATTCATAACTTCTAAATATTTAGGGAAATTAGAATTCTGGGCATTTTGTTTTGTTTTTCTGAGACAGGGTCTTATTGTGTAGCTCTAGCTGTCTTGGAACTTACTGTGTAGACCAGGTTGGCCTTGAACTCACAAAGATTCACCTGCCTCTGCCCAACTGTGGAATTCCATTTTTATCGTCATGCTTATTTCACGAATACTTTTCCATACTATGAATTGCTTTTGGGGGAGTTCTTTTTTTAAATAATTTATTTAGTTGTATTTTACATACATTGGTGTTTTGCCTGCATGTATGTGTGTGTGAGGGTATCAGATCCCCTGGAGCAGGAGTTACAAACAGCTGTGAGCTGCCGTGTGGGTGCTGGGAGTTGAAATCAGGTCCCCTGAAAGAGCAGTCAGCACTCTTAACCACTGAGCCATCTCTCCAGCCCTTGGTGGAGATCTTTTAGGGACAGAATTCTGCCATGGCCCACTGTGCTCATTTTAGATGATTTTGTTTGTGTGAATGTGGTGTGAGGATGCTCAGGGCTGGCTAAACTATTTGACCTGCAGCTACTTTTTTAAA